CAGAGCCATTTACACTTGATAGAAGTGAACGCCTGTTCCAAAATTTCCAACTGCGAAGGGAAGTGTTGGTAAATCTCTGCGAACGACGGTAGTAACGCCGGAGTGCTGATCTTTTTATGGACTGCAGAGGTCGCAGTGAAGAGTGGTTTACTGGTATACAACGGTGACGCTGAGCTAGTACCGTTATAGGCCCTCTCCGTGTCATCCAAGCTACAAGACGACAGACGAGATTAAATAGCAGGGTTGTAGGATACCTGAGGCTTACTGAGATTCAAACCCGGCTGGACCTCCGTATTTCTTCCACGCCGCTCGCTCAACATCTCGTTCACTGTAAAACGAAACCAATGAATTGGTGTCCCCGTTCGATGATCTTATGGTAACTCTGCACGACTATCTAAGCCTTAGCTTTTCTCTTCGAGACTTGCAACTCACGGGGATTCGATGCAAACCAAACCCTCCAGGTCCGATGGATCCAGTTTATAGCACTTGAGTGCTAGTGTACGGGATATCTAGGGCACACAGCGGTCCAGTTTCTGACAGCAATGAAGAAAGGACGAGGAGTCATACCTTCCTTGCCCTACGTATGGTGGATTTTCGCCACCACGGACTTTGTTGCATCGATATCCTTTCCGCTGCAGATGCCCGGGTTGTACTTTCCGGCAGGGTCTCCAATTCTTCGCGTTGCATTGTAAAAATAATCATTCGCACGGTGAAGTTCATATGAGCTTATGTCTGATGCTGGTATTGTTCATCACAGGAAAGGCGCTAAAGAGGCTTTTCTTCTCACAGACGTATGCGAAAGAATGCATAAATGTGAATAGACTTGATTCAACCGTGGGAAGTCGGGTCAAATGTTGAACTGAATCGCTGACGTTCCCGGGCCTGTAACATATCATTACATGAGTTCTTTCGAGGGCGCAGCTCTTTATCATAGCGTTTTCCCGCAGAATCGGGCGAAGGACGACCATGGTCCATGGACCATGGTACTACGAGCCATTTGTGTTGCAATGCGGAGGCTATTGCCTACTGTCCGACCGACTATGGGCGCTATAATAATGCTAGCGCATTTTATAAAATCATTAGCCAGGTCATGGAACTCAACTGTGTGACATACACAACGAGGCAGGACGCGGACTTGGATTTGGGAAAGCGGTACAATGCGTTGCTTCAAGTCTAACCTCACACCGATCGAGTAGTATTGTGAACGGACGTTCAACTTGGAGTACAAGTAGCTGGAGCGGCACAGGAGAACAAATATTGGTTGGAAAATACGATTGGACGACGATGCCGAAATTCGGCATCGACCTATTTGAAAATCAATTCACGCGTGATGCGTCTGCTCTTACACTCAGTCGCCATGCCCAAGAGCCAAGCTTCAAGCAAGGAGAAGAAACCTGCTCGTGCGAGGAAGAGTGTTGAACCCGTCGATGAGTCTCAGTGGCGAGCGTCGAGAATTGGTCAAAACCGAAAGGCACGTATTCTCCACACCCGGCTTTTGTGCCCCAGTCGTTGACCAAGGGAGCAGATTTCAAAGACTAATGCGATCTGCCAATATAGGGTTACTGCGGCACTCCTGGAATCCCTGCCATTTACGACGTCCAGGTGAGCCGCATGCGGACGCAGCTCAACTTGCGCACCGACTCTGATCAATGATATCTATCCACGTAGCGTCGCAGGGAAGAATAGAATCGTTTCTATAATGTTCTATTACGAGCGCGAGGTCGAGCTATTGGCGTGGCGGAAGCATGGGGGTCCAGAGGGGTTTGAGGACTAGTACGTCTTAATGGCCCGGATTTCCACTTACTTACGACCCTAGCATTAACGAACTACGGAAGAAGCACATGAAGAAGCAGCCTGAGAAAGAGTTCAAGGTGCCTGAGGTCTACAAGCAGGTAGAAGCCAATACAGGTCTCATCCAGCCGGCCCCGCCCCGATTCGGAGCCGCCTCCGGCTCACTCCGTCCTCTGAGGCAACTGTTCGTTGAGTCAGGCCGGCTGTGGTTATGGGAGGCAGCGAATGATGTTTTAGCTGCGTCGGGCGGCGAATTCGGGGACGAAAGACTGAGCTCTCGGCAGAAGGAGGCTGCGCTTAGCGATCCCTTTCTAACCGACCCACGCGCATACCCACTACGACCCGCATTCCTGGCGCCGGTAAGCCCGTCGTACATCGAGTTTCGCCAGGTCCTTGCGCGAGCTCCTTCCAAACACGACGGGGAGACGAGAGGCCAGCTCCAATTGAATGATGATCTCTTCCAAGGGGAGACGACCTACCATTGGAAGCAGGATTACATGTTTGACCTGTTCGATTCACTCATCGCCATTATCACCGAGCACGGCATCGAAGGGATTGGATGGAAGAGCGCACGGTGGGAAGTGTATTACACGGTGCTTCCACTTTCGTTATCGCTGTGGTTGAATTTCGCTTACCTCTCTTATTTAGTACACGCGCTGCATTCAGTCGCTCTACTTCAGTTACGCCGATAATCGCTGGCATGACGATGCTAAAGATTGGCTCTATGGTAGAATGGAACTTGGGAGCTCCGGGACGCTTACGCCGCGGCAGGATAACAAGTCGGAGTTGGGTAAAATATATAACAAGATGCTGCCACTACTCCAATCGGGGGAATGACTTCAGTGACTGTTTGGTACTTCTTGTGTTCGGGGTGGTGTATCTACTTTGGTTCTAATGACTAACTCAGAAGGTTCCTCGCACATTTTTGACGGTCAAATTTTCCAGAACTGCAGTATATACTTCCAGCCCGTCTCCGCGTCGTCAAAGCTTCGATGAAATCCTCGAACACTGAAGACCTAATCATTCGAAGGATTCAATACTTAAATCGTGGCGGAATATTATTTATTTACATGGCGCCTTGAGGGAAGAGCTCGCTGCTTTTTCTTGATAAGTCTTGTGAGTTGAACGGTTTCGCATCCAATTTCCCGCTGCTTCGGCTCAATTGTGGACAGCTTCAAGCTTCATGATCCTTAAACGAGTACACAGTCCGATTTCCTGGTGTACGCGTAGTCGCTTCGACGGCCAAGCCGGTCATGCCCGGAGTCGAAGTGCATTTACACCGTAACATCGTTAACGCGCGAATAAGTACTTTCATCATGTCTTGGGACTTTTGGTCGTCGAACTTGACGTGAAGCAATGGAGATCCTGAAGCATTCAATGGTAGGTACCAGCCAAGCGCTTGACGTATAGTGTTGAATCCAACTTGTGCAGATTGTGCAGACTTGGAGCCTGATTGAAAGATGGATCAAGACCGCCGCAGGCGAGAGCAATTTGAAAAAAAAAAATGAGGTAAGTAAATCTCGTAGAAGGGAACACCTAGGCAAATGCAACCATACATGCTATCCAATCTCTCTGTCGAAACATACACTGAGAGGCATCGTTCATTCCGTCCAAGAGCAGTACAACATGTGAAGTGTAGCTCGTTTGCCTGCCCAACATCGTGAACTTGATTTTCAGCCCAGCCGCCGCAAGTGCCCGGAACCGAGCCATCTGGCCGCAGTTGACATGTGGCTGATGACGGCCCCATACAGATTGCTGTGCAGTGTGAATCCTTCGAGGGCGACTCGGGGAGGCGCCAGCGACAGTCGCATGTGTACGGCATCAATAAAGTCCTGTCCGTGTCCGACAGGCGACCGCCCCGGAAACACATTCGGAGGATTTTCAGGCGGGGGAGTATTTCCACGCACTCCAGGGCAGCGAAGAGGTGCCCTGGTCGAAGGTCCTCGGTTTCTAGATCCGAGACCGATTCGGAAACGGCGGTTAAGCAAGAGGCGAAAGCTTCGACTCTGATATTGTGGCCCGCAATGGATAGGGAACGGAAGGGGCATTTAAACGACGGATGAAAATTTTACAAAACAGCGGCATACTGGGGCTCGGCGATTTCGGTGACACCGAGCCGCTGAGGCAAGGGAGGGTCAAGTGCTCTAGAATGGGAGCAGTCGGTAGGTTACACTCGAGTGATTCCAAGGCAGCGAGGGCGAGGGAATTGGTGTGCACAGGGGCCGGAGGTGGAAACGGCGAGCTGGACAAGGTCTGGACATCCTCGAAGCACTGTGATGCACTCTGTGAGATCGATAGTGTGCTGTAGTGTGAGAGACGTGATCTGGGACAGAGAAGATCAACCTTCACGTTTGGGAGGGTGCGTATGTGCGCCTCCCGCAGTAAAGGCGCGTTGTGTATGACCACCGTGCCCACTGTCTCCTCACCACCATGGAACAGATTATCAAGGAAGATGCTATGATGAACGGGGAATGATAGATTGCTGAGTTCCAGAGTCATATAAAGGCGAGTGGCAGGCCAAACTTTACGTCCTGCCAACGGTGAGAGTGTGCAATACTAGCCTCGATCAAAGAGCCAGTCCGAGAAATATCCCAGCTGTGCAATTCCAGCTCCAGGGGGATATTTCCGGAGCGATTTAGCCATAGCTTGAAGAGATTCACGGGCGAGTTGTCTGTGAAATATAGATCTCGCCATAGCTCCGGCGTATGAATGACAATTTGGCGCCATTGGTGGCAGATCTGTGCCAGGAGTAGGGGACCCTCGGAGGAATACAGCCCCGGGGAGGGCGCATTAGGAGCGCACCAACGATGGAGAATCTCCGCTGTGATTTCTGTGGGGAGCGAGAGGATAGGGTAGACTATAATTGCGTCGGATTCCTTATAGAGTTTTTGCCGCTGAGCGGTTAGCGAAGCAATTATCGCATCCAGCCTCGAACAGCAACTGCGGGGTTCATGAGGGTAGGGTGCGTTGTTCTGGGTATGCTCCTCAGCTAAGTATGAAGCCGCAATTCGTGCAGAGGTTTGAGGTCATGTTGGGAACAAACAAGCAATCACAACAGCATAGCCACATTCGTCCAATGAAATTTGCCTTGGGTCTGAATCCAACTAGATGGTCGTTTGTAACTCGATTTAAATGTCCACTGAGGATTCGGAAAAAAGGCAAAAACGAGCGGGGTTGGATTGTTAGCACGGTGAAAATGCAAAAAAGAACTCTCGACCTGGGAGTCGAACCCAGCTCTGCCGCGTACGGAACAAACTGACAAGCGGCTGTACTAAACCGATATACTAGTCAAGACATAGCACTTGTCTCCCAGAAAGTAATCAGGACTGCGAGAGGAGTGACCGCACCACAGCGAAATTTCGGGTAAGCAGCGGTGTGGGGCAACCGCATACGCCTCTCGCTTCGCGAACTCGGCATCCAACTCTTCCTGCACCATCGCCGCCTCATCCGCAAGCCCCACTTCCTAACCCGCGGCGCCGACGACTTCAAGACGACTTGCAATCACTTCCCACTGCTGTCTTCCATGAAAGTTGTGCGGAGGATGGGTTGCTGCGTGTCAGCTCCGTGGTGACCTCGATCCAGCGCTGGTTATCGAAATCTTGGGCAGCTCGCGCGTCGTCTGCAGGAGCCAACAAAACTTCTCTGGCTTTTGAGAAGGCTCAAGGAACCCGACCGAGGCCCGCAGGGAGAACCGGGTCCACATCCTCCTTAGCCAAGCCCACGCGCTGGTAAACGTCCTCCGCCGGCGCATACCCGTTCACCGCCACGCCGTGACGCAGCCCCGACAACCCCCAGTGCCTTCACCTTCCCCGCCATGTCCCGCAGGATCGCATCAGCCAGCACATCTCCGACGCTGAGCGCGCCGACTCCGCGACTGCGGTACTTGCCCACCAGAAATGGAGTCGCCGCCGATATTGAAAGAACGCGCCAATCTCTGCGACGTCGATCCGCCCACAAGCTGCTGCATCAGCACCTTCGTCGGTCTGCTATACGCGACCATGCGGTGGTCCACGATTTTGACCTGGTCGTCGCGCCGCCCGAAGCACTCGAGCTCGCCCGTGGGGCGCCTAGCGGATGAGCGGTCTGCGCACCGTTCGTCCAGATGATGAAGCTCTTGAGCGGTACCCGCGCGCAACGTAAGGGCCGAGGACGCAGTACTCGGCAATGGGCTGTGAGGCGCGATGTCCACAGCGCCGAGTTGGAGGATCGTGGAGACCACACCCTATCTCGGGAACCCGATGCTGCGGGGGCTCTTGCCCTCAAGCATGTCTCCCCAAGAGTGGTCAAGGGTCGTCTCCGGTCCACTCGCTGCGCGTGAAGTGTGATGCGCTTAGCCGTATACATAAATCCAAGAGTGTGATGCAGAGCATGGCTCGCCGCCAAGGACCATGTGCATGAGGGCGGGATCGGCGCAGAAGCTTCTTGTGATTATTCTCATTTCATGGGTTCCAGTCCGTCCAATCATCGCCATGTTCGCCATCTACTAACTCAAATATGCCAAAAATCCCATCGTCGATATGCACCTCTGCCATGATCATCTCTTTCCCCAATACTTCATCGACTTCAAAAACTTGTCCTACCAACTCTTTGGGCTGACCTTGTCCTTCGTCCGTCTTTGGAACCTCATTTCTCAAAGCGAGCAAATGCGTCTTGTTGGACTTTTGGGCGCTGTCCCACACACATTAGGGTTGGGGATGCTTTCGCTCACGGCCGTCACTCCGTCCGCCATGTTCTCGGGGTTGCTCTACCTACCATCGATGGTGGTAGACTCAAGCGGTTCTCAACTCTTTCAGTAAAGACTGCGAGAGGCTGCTTAGGAGCTTACGGTTCTGGCGTAGGTCTTACAAAGAGCGGCCGCGTAGGCCACCTTTGCTGACTCTCGATAATAAAACTCAAGGAGGACTTTCGGCTGGGGCTTTTCATTGGAGTCCAATTTGTATACGACAACTAGTACAATCTTGTAATTTATGTTACTTCTCTTCCTTATCTAGTCCGTGCAGTCCTTCAGACGCCTTAATCAACTCCATCTTCAAGCTATTACATTCCCGGCCTTGCCCTCAGCCTTCTCCCGGCGGACCAACTTCCCGCGCTCGCGTTGCGCTCTCCGCGCCATCAAGACTGTCGTCGTCCGCCTCGTACAATCTCTCCGCAGTGACGTTTTGCCGGAGGACAAACTTTCCAATTCCGTAGGGCACCTGACGGAGTCCGTAGGCCGCATGGTCGCTCATTGGTACGGAAAACACCTGGTCGAGCTCCTCGAGGGTGCGGCCCTTGGTCTCGCGTACAAATAAGAGGATGAGGACCCAAAGGACGCTGTTCAACTAGTCAATCCCCGTAAATGGCTCAATGGAAAGGAAAACATACCAGCACCACGCGGCGTAGAACGCGAAGGCACCTTGAGGCTTGAAGGCGGCGAGCAACGACGAGAAGGTGATTCTAGATGACGTCAAGCCCATTCCACCCAATGCTGTGAAGCTTACGAGTACAATATTGAAAAACCAGCAGCCTGAGGTTGCCGTTGCGAAACTCATACCGATGTCGCGAATGTACAACGGAAAACTAATATAATATTCATTGGTTTATGGGCTTGACGTCCTCGAAGGACTTACGCTTCCGCGGAGTACGTGAAGGGCGCGGGACCCTCTCCAGGCGAATAAAAGACCCCGAAAATAATCGGCCAGTGAATTTTAATCCACGAATGAGCTAAACGACGAACAGATTTCCAGAGACACCCCGGCAAGCTGTCCTTTCTGTGGGGAGTTCCGAAATTCTCGAGGAATGATGTTATGAAAACCTCTCAATCCAAACAGCGCTGATACCGCGCGCTATATTCTACGTCGCAATTCAGTCAAATATATAATGCTGCTCGAGGATTCAGGAAAAAACGTACTGTCGTTAACCACCTTGCGAATCCGATCGTCTTCGATCATATATTTGCTGAAGGTGTTGACCGTTCCAGGAGATAAGTTCTGAGCTCGAACTTGAAGCCAAAAAAGATCGACGGTCACCTCCGGGGAGGGGGATTTCGGGAGGGTGTAGATTGGGAAGTTGGAGGCGTCTGCCAGAGTTCGGATGGTTTTACAGACTTTCTTGTGAGGGAGGGGGCTTCCGTTCCACTGCGAAGCTTGAGGTCAGAAGTGGGAATGTAAAAAAAAAGCCCCGTGCACCCACATCATTCTTCTGACACTCCGCGTCGCAATAGGCCACCCGTCTACATCCCGTACACAGGGATGCCGCGGTCGACTTGGCGCAGTGCGCGTGCATGCATTGCGGAGGCATCTCCGTCAACGTGCGCATAATGTTCAACGCGAGCTGGGGCGGTGTTTGGACCTCGAGGATCAACGTGCGATATTCCTTCGAGCACTCCAGGATCGTCGCGTGGTACTGTGTCTCGTCGAAGGGAAGTACCAGCTTCGCGTGGATGACCCCTCCGAGGCCTGGGCCGTGGGTCCAATGCATGGGACAGGAAATCCCCATCCTGGCGTTGATCTCTGCGACGCGGTTGAGGCACTGGAGGAGGAGCGGACAGTGCTCGCGGTAGAAATACGCAGAGGACACGCCGTCGTCGATGTTTGAGATTTCCTTTATTGTTATGAAAACGAGGGTGACGGGATAGCCAGGACCGCTAAGGGCACCAAAAATATCCTCATAGTCGGCTGGAAGCGCGTCTAGACCGCGCTTCAGGATAGCGACGAGATTCTTGGGGAGATGCGCGCTGAGGAGAAATGGGACGATGACTCGTGGGCCGAATAGGGATGCGACAGCGGCGATGGCACGTAGAATGGGCAAGACCGGGTAGAGATCAAGCCACCGGCACAGCATCGTCGCGGCAGTTTCATCGTCTCCAGCCAGGCATTGTCTGGGATCCCGAGGCCAAGGGATGGCCCCCGCTTCGTGCATTTGGAGGGAATAGAACAAGAGGTCGGCGATAATGGCGATCAGGCCGTTCATCGTGGTCGTCCGACAGACCCATCCGGGCGGATCGCGACACCAGGCGGCTGAGTTCCACTCCCAAGCGTGCAGCCGGTCTACGAGAGGGTCTGTGCGATTGCATTCGCAGTGTTCCATGCGCTGGACAAGGGCAGCCATATCCTCGCGAGACCTGTAGGTAGTGACAAGCGCAGATATCGCTGTAAGGAGAGAACCCGATTTTTTTTCCGCCAGAGCCGTCAGATTCAGCTTCAGCTTAGCATTCGGCGCGTCGGGAATGATAGGATTCTCCCAGTTGTCGTTCATGTCCGAGACGTTGATTTGGGAGAGGAGGCAGATATAGTACCTGCAGCAGAATGTAGGGTTTCGGGGGTCGGCAAGGGACTCGATGGCCTGAGCAAGAACGGCAGCCATGACGGTAAGTGGCAAGCTTGTTTGAATCCCACGCCAGACCGCGCGTGACTGACGTAACAGAAATCAAGCCGGCATGCCGTGGTTCAAACCGTCTAGCTCTATTTACTACTTTTTATTGTGGCTCGCGAGTCTCGCACGGCCTCGTCCCTCGGGCGACTTGCCTCAGACTCGCTGATCCAAGATTTAAAATCATTCTACATACTGCACGGCCGTTCTAGATGCCGACCAATCAGAGGGCGGGGAAACAGCATTAGGGGTGCTCAATTCTTAGCCCGTAGCCCAACACTCCTGGGGTTGATGGATTTTTGGGCCCGAAACACGGCTTCCAAACATGTGTTCTGTTCAGCACAACTTTTGTAGCCTGCTCAAAAATGAACTGAACATAGTTGATTTTTGGATCACCTTTAACTCTCAAATTTTAAGAATGTTCGAGTATCTAAACTTGCTAAAACATGTAAGATGTTTGGTGTCAGTTTGGGCCGGAAAAACTCTCCGGTTCGGGGCACAAACATGCCAATTCTCATTGTTCCTCTGCTGTTTCAAGCTCAAAAAGGTTGATTTTTGGTTCCAGAAGATTTGGGAAACGTATCGGATTTTCTGTGAGCATTTGGGTTTGAAAAATAAGGTCCATTTTACTGGTCAATTGAGTGCCCAAACATGGCTTATTTCTGGTTTGTATTTGACTTGGACCCAAACAGTGAGCCAAAAAGAAAACATGTTTGGAGCCGATGTTTTGGTCCCAAACAGCCATCAGCTCCTGGAGTGTTGCCGTAGCCCGTTTTAAATGTTGCCCGTGTTTTTATTTGGTCGAAATAAATCAAGAAATCAAACTCCACTCGGCCTGCGCCGATCGGCAAGCCGCTGGCACATAGATTGGTATGTCTCTGTGCAGCCCGAGCACCCTAAGCCTTTACAGCTGTTCCGGAAAAGCTTGTCAGTGCGCAAAAAAT